ATATTTTTAATCTCTTCTAATCTGATTCTAAAAAATATCTTATTATTGTCATTTATATTTCTTTGATTGCTAGTAGGATACGAATATGCTACTTTACGGTAGATAGAAACAGTAAAGTGAACGTTTTTTAGTATGGTACTTGGGGCTTACCTTGGATCGAGGTGACTCAAAGTCAGAAAGCTGCTGTTTACTATTTTGTAAAATAGAATGGGATGTGTGGCAATAACTGACCCAGCGATTCCATGCTGATATTTCGAGTCCATGTTTATTTCCCATAAGAAGTGGCAGCAGAATGAGATGTGCTGGGAGCAAAGACTGAAGCAATGGAAGCCCTGTGGGGTTATGTTTTATCTTCCTTTGGCAGAGTTTCTTGGCTTTGGGGTTTCTGGTGTCTCTACCTTTGATTTTCCATCTGATTTGAAAGTGAAACACCCTTTTTGAATGCTTTTCTTCTTTTTGTAGGAGTCGTTGACACCAACCCACTTGGACTTCATTCCGAATAAGTATCCTCTCTCCTCTGCCTAACCCAGTAGTTCTCAGCCCAGGACCACACATTAGATCCACCTGTGGAGCTTTCGCGATTCGCACGTCTCTCCCTTCTTCATCCACTCAGACCAACTAAATTAGAATCTTGGACAGTGAGACCTGGGCATGGTGACATTTTATCAAAATCTCCAGATATGACACAAGCATCCATCCAGTGCAGAGACGCACTGGGCTAATTTATATCCACATTTAAGTTATCACGGCAACCACTTCTCTTCACACCATTCCCTTTCCTATAAACACATGTCTTTTCTATAGCAAACTCTAGCTTGGATTTTATTGAGAAGAATCAGAACAACACTGTGGGTGAACGATATACAGTTTACTACATAGGCACAAGTAATTCTAGTTGTGATAAGAATTGTGAGGATGCCTTCTTGTTGAATCAGCAGTCTCTCCTGCAAGGGACAGTTCAGTGTGTTATATGCATATAATCAATTTCATATCTATGTTAGCACCAGCAAATAAGTAAATCTCTCAGCCTCATGTAGATGGGTCTAGAGTTTCAGCCAGGGGGCTGAGAATGGTATTGGTATTCGGAAGCTGCCTATGAGCCTGGAGAAACTGTCCTTTGCAGAACTAGGGCCTGACCTCTGGCAGCCGGGCCACAGTCCCGTCTGTCCCCTTTATTCCCTTGCTGATATTTTGCTATAGAAATCACCAACCACACTGACTGGCCTGACCCATGGTTCCCACTATAGCTTTTTTCGATCTCCCTCTCTTCAGGCTGGCTCTGAGGCAGGGCTTTGTGGTTTCCCTTTGGTCTCTTAGTGCTGGTTGAAAATGTTTATCTTTCCCCCAGGCTCTGAGGAACCAAGAGAAGAGTAGTTCCAAGCCAAACAAGGAAGCCAGCTCCCCTAGCAACAAGTCTTCTTTTTCTATGTTTTTTTCTAGTTCCTTCTTTGGAAAGTTTCCTTATTCTCTAGAACAGTGGGCAAGAGAAAAAAAGTGTATATTTGATATGCAAAGACTATGCTTAGTATTCGGATTGTACTATCCCAGCAGAGAAGTTCTTCTTAGCACTATTAAATCCATGAACTCTTTTCTATTTCAAAACTTATGGCCCTGCTCCCACTCCAGCTGGGGGAAATGGAAACGCAGTGTAAAGAGAATGAAATAGTGGTCAAAGACCTACAGGCAATCAGGAGACTTTAGCAAGTCACATCCTCTGAGCTTTAATGTCCTTATCTGTAAAGTTCATAATAATACCTGCCCTGCCAGTTTCACAGGGTTATTGCAGATGAGATGATATATGAGAATATATGATTTGAAAAATGAAAGGATAAACACTTTATGTTTAATTTATAAACAATATAATGCACAAAGTTCAATATATTTTTGACAACTATATTCATCTGTGTAACCAATCTCCAAAGCGAGATACAAAGCTCACCATCTCTGTAGAAAGGTCTCTCTTGTTCTTTATGATGAATCCACACTGCACCTCCCACCACCACCCAGGATACCACTATGCTTATTTTTTTAACCATAAATTCATTTTTTTTGACCTTGAGTTTCAGGTAAATGGGATTATAAAATGTGTGCTTTTTGTAGTTGGCTTTTTTCGCTAACATAATATTAGTGAGATACATGTATGTTTGTGTATCATTCCTTTTTATTGCTAAGTATTTTATTGTGTGAATATACCACATTTTGCTTATTCTTACTCCTGTTAATGGATATCTAAATTATGTCCAGTTTTAGCTATTATGAATAAAACTACTTTGAACATTATGTACATGTTATTTTGTGGGTATATACTTTCATTTCCCTTGTGTATGTACTCAAAAAAAAAGTATAATTGCTGGGTAATAGGATAGGTAAAAGTTTACTTTGATAAGAAACTGCTAAATTGTTTTCCAAGGTAGTTTTATGAGAGTTCCAGATGCTCCACATATTTGCGAATCATTTCAGCCTCTTAAATGTCAATCCTTATAGTGGGTTTTGAACTGAGAGCCCCTATGACTTTGATTAAATTTAGTTTTAAATCTTAGCTCTAGAAATCATATCACTTTGTCTTTACATATACCCCCTCAGAGAACTAGCCTTTCCTCTGGATGATCGGCAACCCCCAAGGCAGCAGAAAGCAGTAGCCCAGACCTGACTAATAATCACCGAGTCTGTCTGAACCTCTGGCAGGCTAAAGGTAACATCTTGACCTATGTTATATTTCAGCTCCTGAGCCCTAAGGTAGAATGAACCCCTGACTACTTTCCTATGAGACCAGACAGAGGGATGCCAGGAGACACCTCGAAACTGTCCTCGAGACCTGAAGAAATGATTTCTTACCCTTATCCATACTCTTCCATAACCTCATGCGCCCTAACCGATGGTATTTTGTGATTTTTGCCCTATGCAATCTGTAATCTATACACCATCAGGGGGTCAGATTTTTAGAGCATAAACTCCCTGTCTTCATATTGGCCAATTCAATATTAAACTTTTTTTTTTTTTCTATTCTGCTAACTCCTGCTTGTTCATTTCATTAGGCCAGTGTGCACGGACGGGCAGGCAGATCAAGGAAAAAAAAACACTGGGCTTCCAGTAACAGTTTCAGTATGGTTTTAATTTGCATTTTCCTAAGAACTAGTGGTACTAATCATCTTTTTCTGTGCTTATAGATTTTTTTTTGTTGTTGTATATATTCTTTGGTAAAGTGTCAAGTCTTTTGCTTATTTAAAAATTAGTTATTACTAGATAGTTAAACCCCTTTTTTCCCCATTTTTACAGTTAAAAATTCTAATTATATTAGTTTGTTTCCTTAGCAAACACAATTAAGAACAAACTTAAGAACAGAATTCTAAATCTAACAGCCAACCTTTTTTCAAACTTTAATGTTAAGACAAGACACTTGAACATCATTAAACTGCACATTATGATTCAAGTAGGCCTGGGATGTGGGCCAAGATTCTGAATTTGTAACAAGGTGCCACAAGGTGTCAATACTGCTGGTTCATATATCACCTTTGGGTAGCAAAGTAACAAATGTTTCTTTGATGATGGATTCCCAGCAGTACTGGAAGTCATTTGTTCTAGGTACATCTAATACTTATTGTAGATGATGGTTCTTGTGGAATCATGGCCTTAGACTGCCAAAAGTGAAAGAAATCTTCAGAAATAAGATTAAAAGTTGTAGATTCTGGTATATTGATTTCACTAATGGACCCAATTCTTCAACCTCATGTACTCAAACCTTTTGCCATGTAGCTGTGCTGTGCCCTTTCACTTTGACTCTGTATCAGCCATGTGACTTGCATTGTCCAATGGGATATAAGCAGATACGACAAAGCAGAGGCTTGTAGAGTGCCTGTGCTTTCAGGTTTCCCCTTGCTTGTTTCTCTGTGTTCACCAGTTTAGCCTCCTGAAGAATGAGGGGACACACGGCTCCATCACCATGCTATCCTCGCCAACACGGACCTGCGTATGAGCCAGGTTCACCCCAAAAGAACCGCCCTGCCCAACCCCACCCCACCCAAATTATTAACTTGTAAACTCATATTGTTTTCAATGAGAGTTTTGGGGGTAGCTGGTCACATAGACTTGTTGGGGCAATAGATAATGGATGATCTTTTTGATGGAGGAAGGAGCTGCATAAAGGCATACATAAGAGTGCCAAAGAGAATCCTTCTCCAGCTCTCCACCCCACACCCCTGCAACACTCTAGTGCCCTTGATTCCCCTTCCAGGTACTGCTTTAGTCTGTCTAAACCTGGCGCTAAAACTTCATCTAGAGTCAGAAAAAATATGGAGTTAAATCATAGTTCTGGGCTTATTACCCTTGGTATTTATGGTTGTTGTGGGAAATGAACTGAGCATATAGGTGATGCACATGTTTCCTAATCCATAGTAAATGCTCAATAAAGGGTAGACACTAAGGAAAATTGACCACAACAATTACAGTTTTAGTAAAAAAGGGCTGTGTTAATTATACCTCTCTATAAAAAATGCTCAGTACTTGATAATTAACTTAGAAGGCAAATACAATATATTTATTAAGGACTATTAAGAGCTAGGCTCCTGCTAAATATCAAAGAAGAGGAGAAAGATTTTGAACAAATGCGTAATTGAATTCTATTTTACCTTTATAAGACAAGACAAAAATATATATGGGCTATTATAATGGATTACTCAATAGAATGAACTTTTAAAAATGACTGGACCACAAATACAGGAGCGGCAAAAATTGCTGTCAATTTCATGTCAATTTTGTATAATTTGGCTTTGTCTCTAGTAATTAATTATCCAATAATATATCTCAGTTTGTGTTGAATTTATTCTATAAAAATAAATTATAATTATTTTATTTTAGCTGATTTTATATAATTATCATTTTATTTGTTTTCAAAAAAAGAATGATGACAGACTTTAGTATTCAAGATAATGTGTGAAAAGCTTTACTTAACTAGGTTCTTTTCTAGGCAGAACATGCTATTCAGGTAACTTTTATTGAGAGGCCAAAATATTTTACTTTTATGGATAATAATTTTATTCATAAAATTGAATCCTTAAACTCACTATCTGAGACTGGGCTGATAAATCTGTCTTAAAAAGATCTTAAATCTTTTCCTAAAATAAATTTTATATATAACATCTTACACTTGGCAGCTATATCAGTTCTACCATCACTGTTTTCTTTAAATTGAACTACAGCTTATTTCGGCTAAAATATATAGCAACAATTTTCCATTCAAAAGGCTATTTGGAAAATTGTTTAACTTGGTAAGTAAGATAGACATCCAGTGATTTTGGTCAGTAGTTGAATTAAAGCAGAATGGTTAAAATGACACACACTCTATGTTATTAGAATTGATTTTCTTGTGTACCCCTTCCATTTTGTGACCTTTATTTCTGTTTTCTTATTTTTCAGGCTGTTAGACAATATACATTTCATGGTTTGGAAAAGACAATTACTTATCTGTGACTCCCCAATAATAAATAAAAACAACATTAGTGGAGAAACATGTAACTTTTAGAAATAGTGTAAGGGAGAAAATGTTCTTTGTGGTTAAAATTGTGAAGGAGAGCTCTGTGTCTTGATTCCGGTTCTGCTGATATATATTGGGAGTGTCTGGAACAATAAAGATTAGTATGAGCTAAGAGAGCTGGAGAGCAGTTTGTCTGATGTTTCATTTATTATTTTCTCTCTGGGACAACTCATTCAGACATTAAGATCCTGGAGAGATCAGAAACAGGAGTGGTTTATTTATGAATTGCCATGAATGACATGTACCTAGACATTTTAAGCTCAAAAGTTGAGTACTTAAAACAGACCTGCTGTTCATCTGGTCACAGAGGCATTCTCTCAAGTACAGAAAATGAAAGTCTTCTCTTGGGTTATAGGTTTGGGTAGACAAAGAGAAAAAAGATAATGAGTTTGGAACATATATGTTGCTCACAGCAGTACATAAAGAACAACATTCTGAGTGAGCAAGCAACAATAATAAATAATGGATTGTAAAATGCATATCTGGAGAGAGGAGTTTTCTGCCAGGTTTTAATCTTGAAGGGTTCTTAAGGCTTTTAAGAAGTAGGTGACTTTCTGTGGTCTTGAGCAAGAATGACAAATAGCATAATTGACAACATACCATTACCATGTACAGAAGGAAGATGCGGCATAGGAGATAAATAGATACAATTTAATAAGAAACAAGACAAAAACAAAAAATAAAACCTCAAGTAGAAACACAAGCTGCAAAGTAGGATTCTGTTTTCTTGGCCTTAGCTAAAGCTAAATCAAACAGCTATTAATAACTGATTTTTATAAAATAGATATTAGCCTTTTATTTGGCTGATGCTAGACAAGATGCTTTATTAGAGAGATGGCTATAGCACTGGCAATAGATAAAGCTCATAAAATGAAAGTTTAAAAGGAATAGCAAATTTTTTCTTACCTTTTACTTTTGATTTTTAAAAATATTTATTTTTGAAATAGTGTGAGAGTATCCAAATATTAGTAGAGTAGTCTTTTCTTTTTCTTGTTTTCTATTTATGAAACTTGAGCTTCTAAGAGTCTAGCTAGGTTTATTATTATTATTATTATTATTATTATTATTATACATTTTATTAACTGGGTTGATGACTAATCTTTTGGCAAATATCAGAATTCAGATCTCTTAAGAATTTGACATATGTAGATATATAATGGAAGGCATGAAGAAGTAAATAATACAGTCTCAAGCTGCTGTGATTAGGAGTGTCTTGGCATCCTTTTTCTACGAAAAGAAAATCCTTTGCAGATAAAATTAATCTAGACAATTTTTTCCTACCCTAAAAGACAGTAATTAAAAAACCCCAAAACTTCAAATGTCACAGCGTAACAGGCTGCATGACACCAACTAAAGTATTCGAAAATAGAGAAAGTTTCATTGAAGGGCAAGTGGGAAGATAAGTCAATGGCAGTGACATTTTTTCTGAAACTGTTGGAGGACGTAATCTCCTTAGCAATAGAGTTAATGAGGACTTTGCTCTTTGAAGCCTGAACTGGGAGCAATTCTAGAGAGACTTAAAATTTTCTCTATTTTGTTACGAGGAAAAAGAAATGTGAATATAATTGAATCAGTTTGCAAAATAGACCGGGGGACACAGAAAGATCATCAAGTCAGAAAGACAGAAATATAAGGAAACATGGAACATTTAAAAATTCTCCCAGCCCTATTAATTCTTCAGTGACTTAGCAGGAGGGGAGGTAGTCAATGACAAAACACCACTTTGGATCATTTATAGT